CAGGTGCTCACACCTACAACAGATGCAGAGCCCAAACCAGCCTGACTGACCTGGGATAGTTTGGTGCCAGTCTTAACATCACAGAAACCCCAAATCATGATTTTTAAAGGCTGACCTCACTGATGACATCCCACCTCTACAAATCTCAGTCACTTCTCCAGTCTCCTTTGAATGCACCATCAACACCAGACTTTGGTCTCAAACACACACACTTTAAAGAAGAAATGACCATAATGGAAGGAGCAGCTCCTCCTGCAGGGCACAGCTGAAAAGTCCAGACCAGCCTGTCACGGCTGTGATGGAATGGGGCCCTTCTTCACACCACACCCACAAACTAAACCACACAAGTAACACAAAATGACCTCACTGATGACACACATACTTATCCTGGGCTTTGGCTGCATATTCTGGTTTTCCTGACACATGTCTTCCTTGCAAATCCTCCCAAATACCAACTCTCACTTTAAAGCTGCCGCTACAGTCAGATGGACATGGCCTCAAGAGAAGGACATGACACTGAAGGATCGTAGGGAGGAAAACACTCCCCACGTGACCTATAAGGCTGTCTCAGAAAAAAACTGATATTATGATTTCCATTCAGGTTCATCTAGAGAGTAGTACGGTCAACCCTGTTATTCTAAAAAAGTGAATGTCTGCAGTTCCATCAACTGCTCCACATGTTGTCTTCTACTTATTCTTCATCAGCTATAGATATCCCTAGATCACAGGAATTGCTTTCTCATCTCCAGTGGGAAAGGCCTCGAATATAGAGAGGTTTAGAAATTTCGCAACATTGTTGAGACACAGAAAATATGATGGAAGGGGCCACCTCCAGAAGAGCTCCAGAAGAGCTGCAAGGCCCAAATGAGCCTGACTTGGCTGTGGTGGAATGAGGTCACTCTTCACCACACACTCACAAACCACAACACAGCACTGCCATGGTGATGACATCCCACCTCTCCAATGCTCTGGCCACAACTTCAGCCCTTCCAGACAAACAGCATCAACAGCAGCCTTTGGTCTCTAATACTTGCATTTAAAAGCTGGCGCCAAGGTCATGTCCTCAAGAGCAGGACATGACACTGCAGAGTTGTGGGAAGCAAAACGCTACACATCACAGAACTCACAAGGCCTGCAAAATGCCCCAAGGCCATGGGACAAGGATGTCCCGCCCCTCCAGAACCAGCATAAAAGCCAGCCCAGAACCTCTCTCCCTCACACACTTCTCCTCACACCTTCTCCTCCTGCTCCTGCGGACAGCAAGGTGAGTCTCAAACCCCTGACCCTCCTGCTCCTGCACCCCTGAACCCTCTCTGCCACTATGCTCAGCCCCAACCTCAGCAGCCCTCATGCCTCCTCACAGCTCCACAACAGCCTCTACACTCCCTCACCATCCTCCATCACCATCCCTCACATCCCTGCCCTGCCTCACCTCCCTTCTCTTCCAGGGACCCTCCACACCACACCCATGGCCTGCAACAACCTCTGCCAACCCTGCGGACCCACCCCGCTGGCCAACAGCTGCAACGAGCCCTGTGCCCTGCAATGCCAGAACTCCAGGGTGGTCATCGACCCTTCCCCTGTGCTGGTCACCCTGCCTGGACCCATCATGACCTCCTTCCCCCAGAGCACCGTTGTCGGATCCACCTCCTCCGCTGCTGTTGGGAGTGAACTCAGTGCCCAGGGACAGCCCATCTCTGGTGGCTTTGGTGGCTTTGGCCTTGGCTATGGGCTGGGAGGCCTGGGCTGCTACGGCAGAAGGGGTGGATACATCTGCTAAGGGCCCTTGGCTCCACTCCTGACACCACCAGCTCAGGGCTCTGGAAACAGCTCCTGCAAGCAAAGCACCTCGGCTGATTCTTGCCCTACTTGAATCTCACATTGGATCCCTTCCACTCACTGCTCCTGTACGTTCTTTTGCCTCAATAAAGTTTTCCTGGAGCAAAGCTTCAGATGTCTCCTCTTCTTATACCAGACTTCTTGCAGCTACACCCAGTACATATACTTTGCTTCCAGGCTAAACAGCTGCATTCTCTGTGACACCATCTTCACTTTCAGAGGGGTTCTAGGATCCCTCCACAGAAAGTCCCATTTCCTTGTCCCTCCTTCCTGCAAGGCCCTTGGCTTCCAGATTTTCTAGGTCATTTTACCCCTTTCTTGGAGTTCATTAGCTGACTCAGGTGATGGTCATTACTGTATTGTCCATCTGGATGGATGGTCCCCATTCCAACTCCCTGGGAATCTCCAGGCCAGGATCTCACCTTGTTATGAGGTCTTCAGCTGATCCCTGATGGAGATCCCCCTTTTCCTCCTCACTGCAGGGTCCTATTAATGGGGCCTCCAGGCCACCCCCTTCCCTCTTCTGGGTCCCTGGATCATCTGTGCTGCTGACCCCAAGCCACCAACCCTCTGCTCTGAGGTCACACAGCACATCCCCATTATGACTTGACTCCCACCAAGTCACTGTGGATTCCTGAGGCATCGCATGGAGACCTCGGAACAAGGTGCAGGAACAAGCCTGTGACCCTGTTGAGAAGATAGTGTCCCTTGTGCCACCTTCCTGCCTCTTTGCCTCCCAATTTCGACACTCCAACACGGATTTTTGGATCATAAAGGTCTTTGGTCTCCCCAAATTGCTTCTCACCAGTGACATTCACTCTCTCTTCTCCTTTGATGTGTTTTCTTTTCACTGTACAAAGGCTCCCGGCAAAGAGGCAAGCTCTGGGCTGACACAGGAGTTCAAAGTCTCCAGGGCTATTGGCAGCACTAAAATATTCATCAAAAGCAAATTAAAATAATATCTCTGGAGCAGCTGGAGCCCAGAGAGCCGGAGAACTCTATGCACAGCTGGATTCAGATTTGATTCAAAGAGGAAGAGTTTGCTGAGGAACAAAGCCCTTCCCTAAATCCAAAACTAAACAGCCCCTGCATCTGAGCTGGCAAAGGAGAGAGAGAATAGGTTTGGAACTGTTTGGCCTTTTCATTTCTTGATTTAGTGTAAATAGTGCATTTCCCCTCATTGGCCTTGAGGTATGAACTTCAACCCATCTTAAAGCAAAGTCTAATCCATAAAAAGACAAATTTAAGTAATGCGTGCTCATATACTCATTCACCTTGGAGTTCATCCAGCTTGACATCAACACTTGGACTGAAACAAGAGCAGGATTTCGCCTTCCCAAGGTCCTGGGACATGCCCAAGCAGCCAGGCCCAGCGGGATGTCTGCCTCATCCCAAACCTGCGCCAGAGACGCTTTTTTTGGGCACAGTCAGCTCACGTGGGTTCCAGGGAACACTGGGAGGAGGCTCAGACCCACATCCACAGAGCCCTGTGCCTACATTCCTCTCTCCCATCCTCCCTAGGAAATCCAGGCCCCTTGGGTTGCCCCCTGCCCAGTTCTCTGCACTCCATCCAAGGAGACCCAAAGCAAGTGGGATGGGCTGGAAGAGGTGGCATCTCTTCCAATGTCTCTCCCAACATGATTCACACCCACCTAGCCAAGATCCCACTCCCAGAATAACCCCAAACCCCATGATGGAGCAGTGGCAGGTTCATCTCCCTCCCCCAGAGGACTGGACTTGACAAGACCAAATCCAAAATTACGGTGGAAAGGTCATGCAGCAGCTGCTCCCAGTCCCATGAACAGGATTTCTTGGAATATCTGTGGCCATCACCCCCATCCTCATCCCAATTTTCTCCCTCTGTGCTTTTGGATAACTCCCACTGCCAAAGGGCTGCACATTGTGGGGATGTGGTGGTGGGAGCAACCCCCAATCTCTATGGAAACTGGCACAGGTCATCCTGTAGGACAAGGCCTGGAAAAGGGGTCACTGCTGGAGTGCTGCCCCCTAAAAAAGAGCCACAAAGCTGGAATTTTAGCAGGGAAGAGATGCTTAGAGCTGTCTCACCTGGGCTCCTGGAGCTTGGCTGCAGTTGCAAAGCATCATCCTCAGACAGCTTCCACCTGGGATAGGCTGCACCCGGGAATCTCACACACATCTGCCCGACTTTCCTATGAGGCATGGGGAGGGCAGAGCAGGGAGTGGGGCTGGACCCAAAACCAGGCCCGTTCCAGAAAAATAGGTCACCCCACAAGGAAGCTTCGTTACGGAAACGACGCCTCACATGAAGCAGCGGTTCTCCGACAGGATCTGGCCAAGCCACCCAAGCTTTATCCTGCCGGCTGGAAGGTCCTGGGATGTCCTCTGGATCATGTCACGCAGACGCCCTGCCCAGATGAGCTAATGGGTCTGTTCTGGGCTTTGATCCTCAAATCCCAAGGCCTTGTTAGATAACATCAGAAGCCTGGGTGATATTTCATTAACAAATGAGTCCGTCCCATGTGGTCGCTGCAACTTTATCCCTTTCCCCTGTGATCTTCCCTCATGCTCCAACATTTCTTTGGTAATTAGCCCCAGAATTAGCATATTTAAGCTCCAAAATTACTACATTTAATGCAACACCGTGGTTATTCGAGTGCTGTCACAGCAGCTCTTGGCTGCACCACCTCCCAGCAATTCCTTGGCCGAAACACGGGTTTATCCCTAATTAGTCTCCCAAAACTTGCAGGAGGCAGCAGGAAGATCTTATCCTCCCACCAGCACGTGGAAAATCTTCCTTGGCTTCTTTCCCCCCATCCCTGGTAGTATTTAAAGAGACATTGGAGCAACCTAGTCTAGTAGAAGGTATCCCTGTTCATGGCAGGGAGTTGGAATGGGATGATTTTTATTTATGGCAATGATTTCATTTCAACCCAAACCCTTTTATTCTGTAATTTTGCCGTGAAGTGAGGTGGAAGCATGGATGCAGCTGGATCTGACTCATCCCAACATCGACGTGAGGTTTCTTCTTGCCAAACCTCAGTGTCTCGTGGCAGATGCAGGACAGACATGGAATTAGCTGGCATGGAGAAGGAGATTCAGTGTCCATCCCTGGCTCCTTGGTTGAGATCAGCTAGGGAATCCCATAAAACATAAGGTGAGAACAACACCAAGACTCCTGGGAGTGGGATTTTGCACCTGGGACAGGCCTGGGCACATGCTGGGACTCAGCCAACTGGGAGAGGGGATGAGCACTTCCAGGGGACACAGGCACAAGGTGACATCTTTTTATATGCAAATGATCTCCCTCAACTCCCAGCAAGGAGGTCCCCAAGGATTCAGCCTTCACTGAGACTTTCCCAAAGGAAAAGGGCACATTTCCAAGTCTCATCCAGGGGAAAAGGAATGAAAAAGCTGATATTCTATTGTTCCTCGACACTGGGGCTATCCAGGCCTTTGGCAGGAGGAAAGTGGGAATTCCTGGCTGGGTGTCCCTTAATTCCACTTTCAAAATTTTAATTTAGAGCAAAGCCCTGCCTTTGCCTCGCAAAAATCCCAAAGGAAAAGCCAGCTGGAAGTGGGGGTGGAGGGGGTGCCTTCAAAACCATCCCCCACCCGCAGCAAAGCTCTGCTCATTTTTAATCTCGGCTCAAGTGCATTAAAAGTGATTAAAACGTTTTCACATCGAAATCCCTTTCGATGAGCCCCGGTGGGGGGGGGTGTGACCTGGGAATCCCCTTTCCCTGCACCCCCTTCCTTTCCTGCACTCCTTTCCTTGCTTCTGCACCCCTTCCCATGAACCTCCTTAAAACCCCTGCATCCCCTTTTCCCTGCACTTGCATCTCCTTACCATCCACCTTCCCCCGTCCCTGCACCTCTATTCCCTTCACCCTCTTTTCCTCCCCCCCTTCCTTTTCCCTGCACGTCCTTCCCTCTCCCTGCACCTCATTTCCCCATCCGCACCCCATTCCCTTCCCCTGCACTTCTTCCTTCATTGCACCCTCTTCCCTTCCCAAAATCCCCGCCCCTGCACGAGCGCCTTTCCCCCGCTCCCGGGCACGGACTACATTTCCCGATGAGCCAAGCGGCAGGACCGGTGACGGTGACGGAAGAAGCCGAGCGCAGCCGAACCCTAACCGGGCCGAGACGAATCGAGTCGAGCGAAGCCGAACTCAGCCGAGCCCCCAACGAGCTGACCCGAGTAACCCCGAATCCGGCCAAGCCCCCCCACCGAGCCGAGGGCAGCCGAACCCAACCGAGCCCTCACGAAGAAACGCCGAGTAGACCCGAACATAGCCGAATCTAGCCGAGTCCCCGCCGAGCCGAGCCGCGTGTAGCCGAACACAGCCGAGCCCTGACCGACCCAACCCGAACGCGCACCGAGCCGAGCGCAGCCGAACTCAACCGAGCGGATACGAGTGTACCCGAGTGGCCCCGAATCCAGCCGAGGGTGAGACGCGCCCCTCACCCCATTAAGGGACATTTAGGGGGACAGGAGCCCCCCCAGGTCGGTGGGGAGGAGAAGGAGGGGGTCCCCAAAGTGAGGGGAGAGGACGGTGGGGACGGCAGGGGTGCGGAGGGTGAGAGATTGTGGGTTGGGAAGAGGGACGCGCTGCGGGACGGGAGGGGGGTGCGGGGATATGGGGGTGCAGGAGTGGGATTTGGGGTGCAGGGGAGGTGGGGGAGTTAGGACTGTGTTCAGAGCTGGGGTTTGTGGTGCAGTGCTGGGGTTTGAGAGGCAGGGGAGGCGTGGGATGCAATCCTAGGTGCAGACGTGGGATTTGGGGTGCAGGGGAGGTTTAAGTTGCAAACACAAGATTTGGGGTACAGGGGGAAATTTGGGGTTCAGCGGGAGATCTGGGGTGCAGACCCGGAGTGCAGAGGGAGATTTGGGGTACAGAAGGAGATCTGGGGTGCAGGGGGTATTTGGGGTGCAGACACAAGACTCGGGGTTCAGGAGTAGATCTGGGATGCAGCCCTGAGGTGCAGGGGGAGATTTGGGGTGTGGGAGGCGATTTGGGGGTGCAGAAGGAGATTTGGGGCACACACCTCGGGGAGCAGGTGCCCCTCCCTTTCCAGAGGCCAGGCAGTGCCACGTGGCAGGTCTGGCCCTAGCCCAGGTGGCCTCCAGCTGAGGAGTTCCAGCCCTGTCACAGCCAAACACGCCCCTTTTTCCACTCCCCTTTTTGCCAGAAGCACAGAAATTTCCCCCCAAAAAACCCAATCCCACCTACCTGGGTACCCACACCAGGGTGGTCCATCCTGAGGTGCATCCCAAGGTGATCCCAGCTTGTCCCCCTGACTCTTTCCTGCAGGATTTTGGCCATGACAGAGGTGACCAAGCGCATCCTGGTGACAGGTGGCACTGGCTTGGTGGGCAAAGCCATCGAGAAGGTGGTGGCCGATGGAGAGGGGCGGCCGGACGAGGAGTGGATCTTCGTGTCCTCCCGAGATGCTGACTTGACGTGAGTTGGGTTTTTCCTTAGAAATTTGCTCTATCAACCCCAAGAAACCCCAAAATTTCCCCATCCCTGGATTTGGTTTTTCGTTGGAATCTCCCCAGTCTGCTCTGGTGAACCCAGAATTTCCCATCTCAGGATGGTGTTTTTCCTTGGAAATGCCTCAATATGCTCTGTCAACCCCACCAAATCCCAAATTTTCGCTTTCCAGTGTTTGATTTTTCCTTGGAAACAACCCAGTCTGCTCTGTTGGCCCTGACAAACCCCAAAATTTCCCATCTTGGTATTTGGTTTTTCCTCAAAAAGACCCCAGTCTGCTCTGTTAACCTCACTGAACCCCAAATTTTCCCATCCCAGGATTGGGTTTTTCCTCAGAAACACCCCAAAGTGCTCTGTCGACCCCACTGAATCCCAACATTTTCCCATTCCAGGCTTTGATTTTTCATTGGAAACAACCCAATCTACTCTGTTGGCCCTGACAAACCTCAAAATTTCCCATTCCAGGATTAGGATTTTTCCTTGGAAAGACCCCAATCTGCTCTGCTGACCTCACCCAATCCCAAGTTTTCCCAAGATTGGGTTTTTCCTTAGAAATTCCCCAGTCTGCACCTACCGAACCCCAACATTTCCTCTCCTAGGATTGGGTTTTTCCTCGGAAACACCTCAATTTCCTCTGCTGACCCCACTGAATCCCAAAATCTCCCATTCCAGGAGCAGTTCTGAGACCAAAGCCCTGTTTGAGAGGCACAAGCCCACCCACGTTATTCACCTTGCTGCCATGGTCGGAGGCCTCTTCAAAAACATCCGCTCCAATCTGGATTTTTGGGTGAGCACCCACAGAATTGGCACTGTCAGGATCCCTGTGGGTGCTGTGCTTCCTAAATTGAGATATGGGCACACAGGAGTGTGACTTACTCTGCTCCTGGAGCCAAACCAGAGCTCCAGTGGTTTCTGGAGTTGTTGGTGAAGGGATCTGGGGATCCCTGACCCCACGATCCTGATAAATGTCCCCTTTCCCAGAGGACAAACATCCACATCAACGACAACGTCCTGCACTCAGCCCACGAGTTGGGGGTGCAGAAGGTGGTCTCCTGCCTCTCCACCTGCATCTTCCCAGACAAGACCACCTATCCCATCGACGAGACCATGGTAAGAATCCCCATTCCCACACCAAATCCAGGGAGAAGTCCCTGCCCTGCTTAATTTTTCTTCTCTGATATTCCTAGATCCACAATGGGCCACCTCACAGCTCCAACTTTGGCTACTCCTATGCCAAGAGGATGATTGATATCCAGAATAGGTGAATTGGGGACATGAGAGCACCCATTGGTTTTCAAGGGGAATCCAGTGGGATTTCCAGGTGGAAGCTGGGGAGATACCTGGGCTCAGCAGGTGAAGGTGCTGCTGGCCAGGGTTTTTTGGGGGTACATTGGTGCTGGAGGGGGAGGCTTGACAGCCCACCCACCATTCCTTCCCTGCTGTCATCCAGGGGTTATTCTGAGCAGCACGGCCGACGCTTCACTGCTGTCATTCCCACCAACGTCTTTGGGCCACACGACAACTTCAACATCGAGGACGGCCACGTCCTGCCAGGGCTCATCCACAAGGTCTACCTGGCCAAACGTGAGGGTGGCAGGACTTCCAGGGATTTTTTTGGGGGAGAAATGAGGGGATTTTCTCTCCCACCTGCTCTTGTGGGAGTGGATAAAGGTGGCTCTGGTGGTCATGGCTCCTTCCTCCTGCAGAGTCCGGCTCTGCGCTGACCGTCTGGGGAACAGGAAAGCCCAGGAGACAATTCATCTACTCCCTGGTAGGTGTGGCCTTGGGAAGCAGGGAATGGGGCTGGAGAACTCACTGGCAGGACCCCAGAGGGGTCTGAACCCCCCCTGGCTTGTCCTGGGCCATCCCTAGGGTTGTGTCCCCTTCAGATGACAGCACTGGGGGACATCAGTGACCCCTCCAGGAGTTGTCTGCTCTTCCACAGGACCTGGCCCGGCTTTTCCTTTGGGTCCTGCGGGAATATGATGAGGTTGAACCAATCATTTTGTCAGGTAAGCCCTGGCTGCCCCCCTGAAGTCTCCTCTCCATGAGGGAACAGCCACAATCCTTCCCTTCTCCACAGTGGGAGAAGATGATGAAGTCTCCATCCGGGAGGCAGCAGAGGCCATCGCAGAGGCCATGGAATTCAGGGGAGAGCTCGTTGTATCCTTCACAAAAGGCTAAACCCCTCTCCTGGGAGATTGCATGATCCAGAGGATCCTTCCCACCAAAGGAGCAAAAGCAAGACCTGTTTTTCCTCCTTAATCCTTCCCATCCCAGTTTGACACTACCAAGTCTGACGGGCAGTTCAAGAAGACAGCCAGCAATGCCAAGCTCCGGCGGTACCTGCCCGGATTCCAGTTCACACCTTTCAGGAAAGGTAAGATAGGGGAGGCTCAGGGGGGGTCATGCCCCCTACCATCAGCCTTGGTGGCATCAAGGTGGTTCATCCTTTCCAAATGAGGAATGAGGGTGGTGAAACACTGGCATGGGTTGCCCAAGGAGGTGGTGGTTTCTCCATCCCTGGAAATATCCAAGGTCAGGTTGGATGGGGCATGGAGCAACCTGGTCTCTTGGGAGGTTGCATGGTGGTTGGATAAGAGCACCTAAAAAAGTCCCTTCCAACCAAACCCATCCCATGATTAAATGACCAAAACCCATTCCCAAAATCCATTCCTGGTCCCCCAAACCCATCCTGTGATTCTATGACCAAACTCTATTCCCAGTCCCCAAACCCCTCCCATGATTCTGTGACCAAAATCCATTCCCAGTCCCCAAACCCATCCCATCTTCTCCCTCCCCAGCCGTGAAGGAAACCTGTGCCTGGTTCAATGCCAACTATGCCAACGCCAGGAAGTGACGGCACCGGGGACTGGCATCACCCAGGACTGGGATCATCCTCTTCAACTCAGGGTTGTCCTTTGCTGGGGCAGAGGACGAGGCTGGGGGGGTGACAGTGACATTTCCAAAGCAAAAAAGGGAGCCTAGGGAGCAGCTCCCACATTCCTGCCCCACTGCTGGGAGCGGCGCAGGACGCCCATGGCAGTGGGGAGGAAAGTTGGGGCATCCCAAAAAGATCCCAAATCAAGTGGTAGGAGCCAAGGAGAGCCATCACAGTGGCTGTGTCCTAGAGGGTGGTGGCTCTGAGCTGTTAATGAGCTACACTAATTACCTGCAATTAGGCACAATAAAAGGAAGGCAAACAGGATTCCAGGGCATGGAAATGGCAGCGAGGAATTTGCTGCTGCTCTTGGCACGTGGGGATGATCCCACAGCCCCCCCATCTCAGGATAGGAATGGGAAAGACTCCAGCTGTAAATGTGGCATTTATTAAAATATATGCAAGTAGCATAAAACTGGTGGGATCATGACGTCTGCCCTGTACCCACATCCAGTGGCATCCTTAGGGTCCATGTTCTCCACCAGGATCTGGAATACCTATAAAAAGTGTTAAACATCCTCAGGGAGGGGGCTGAGGGTCAAAAACGGGGTGATTAATCCTTGGCCAAGCTACTGCTGGTGGTGTGGATGTGGCAGAATTCCTGCCCGGGAATGGCTTTCTTCCGGCACCGCTGCCCAGCCCTGGTGAGCCCCTGGCATGGGGACCTACAGAGGAGACAGAGACACCCATCAGCACCCCAGGAAGCCACCAGCAGCGGGGTCTCCCCCTGAGGTGACACCAAGCCATGGGAAAGGAACATTTTGGGTGGTTGGTGCTCACATGTTGGCCCTTGGGCTGCAGGGTTTGGGCTCCCAGAGCTTCCCAGCATCCATGACCGGCTCTGGTGTCACCTGGCTTGGGAAAAAGGACGTTCTTGCAGATGTCCCTTGTCCCCTGGGGTGCCTTGGCCATCCTTCAGGACACCCTCTTCCACCCTAAATTCCTCCCTGCATGTCATATCCCCAGCCCTGTCCATCTCCCAATGGGTTGTCCCACACCCAGAGGTGCCACCATGGTAAGGACACCCCAACTTTGGAGGGCCTGACTCAGGGAGACCCAGCTGGCCCCCAGGAGCAGGTTTTGGGGGACAACACCAATATGGGGACATCCCACCCCGTACCTTACCCCACACGAGCTCGGTGTTGTCCTCTGGCTACCAGGGTCGGGTGACACATGCCCTGTGAATCCAGGAGCGTCCCCGGCAACCTCTTGAGGCTGCTCCAGGTATGAAGGCTCTGCAAGAGCACAGCAGGGGTGGAGATACCCTCCCAGTGTTCCTGTCCCCAGGTGGAGGATGGGAACACTCTGGGGTGGTGGAATATACACTGGCAGAGCTTGGGGACACTCTGAGATAACAGCACAAGATGGGGACATGTCAGGGATTTGGATCCATGTCCTACAGCCACCACACCTCCCACCTTGTGGGCACCTCTCACCTTGCAGGCAGCTCATCTCCATCCTGTCCAGCTCCTCTTGCAGTAGCTCCATATCACATTCCCTGTGTGGGAAGAAGGAAAACCAGAATCCCGTGACCTTGGTGGCTTCTGTGTCACCACCACAGTGGAGACATACAACTCTCCAGCCCCTCCACGCCCTTCTCTGAGCAGATGTAGGTCAGGGAGTTGGGATGAGATGCCCAAAAGCCATAAGAAAGCCATCAGGATGTGTCCTGTCCCTTCCTGAGAACTGCCAGATGGCTCCAGGATGGGACATGCAGGATGGGAAATCCAGGATGTGACACCAAGGATGGGACACCCGAGCAGAAATGGGGCAAGGAGTTGGGATGAGGTGTCCAAAAACCTTAAGGAAGATGTGTCCTGTCCCTTCCTGAGAGCTTCTGCCAGATAGCTCCAGGGTGGAACACCAAAGACGAGACCCAGCAGCTCCCCAGGGTTCCATGCCACCTCCTCAACCATCTCCTACCTCTCTGGGGTGGAGGTGAGCCGGTACCGGGGCTCTTCCCGGGGAACCACTGGCTGGATCCTTCGGACACCATGGCAGGCAGATGCCACCAGCCAATGCCCTGTGGGAAAACGAGAGGGTGGAAGAGGACAGAGCCCCCACACAGGGTGTCGTGTCCCCAGCCAGGTGTCCCCACACTCATCCCCACCTGCCACAGCGAGGACCAGGAGAGTGGAGATTGCTGAGATGCTCAGGGTGCTGGAAATGAGGAAGAGGAGGAGAAGGATGGCCTGGAATGATGCTGGCACCAGTGGGAGAACAAGGAGCATGAAGTATGAGCTGTGTGGGATGCAGGAGGAGGTGGCACTTTGGCTCTGACCTGTGGGATGGAGAAGAAAAGCCTGGTGTTGGCACCCACCAGCTCTCATCAATCCTCCAGCACCCATTCCCTCTCACCATCCAGGTCAGGGATGGCTTTGAGGTGCTCCAGGTGCTTTTCCAGCTGGCTTTGTGCATCTTCCAAAGCCATCAGCATCAGCTCCAGGCTCTGGTTGACCCTCTGCAGCTTCTCCATCACCTCCTGAAGGACCAGGATGTTCTCTGCAAATGGAAAAGATGGATACAGCAGTGGGATAAGCCAGGGAAGATGCACCCTGGTGTGAAAAAAGCTGGGAATGGGATTTGTTGTATTCCCACCTGGCTGGGGATGAACATCCTGAGTTCTTTCCTGCTCCTGATGGAGTTTAGGTGGGACAACTTGGTGTCCTCTCTGGAGCTCTGCAGCCCCATGGCTGCTCACATTCCCTGTGGGGAGGGAAAAGAGGTTGGATCAGTCCCAAAGTGGGACATGGGAATGCTGCAAGATCCAAACCCTGGCTCATACCCATCTGGTGGGTGATGTCCTGCATGAGCTGGGCCATGGGAGTCTCATCCAGCGCTGACCTCAACCAAGTTTTCCAGAGCTCCTCCTGAGGTGAAAATTTAGGGGGTGATGATGGAGGAATGCTGTTTCTCCCCATGGACACCCCAAAACGAACCCTGGGCACCCCTAGGTGCTCCCAGCACAGGATGGGGGGACAGAGGAGAGGGTTTGGGGATGTAAAATATGGAAAAAGGTGTGAACTCACCCTAGAATTTGTCCTTCACCCCCAAAAACCATCTCTACACCAAGCAAAGAGGCTGCCCAGGATGGGGGTTCCCAATTTCCCAGCTGGGGAGAGCCCCACAGCCACAGATAGTGACAGGAGTCCAGGTGTGACATCTCCCAGGATGTGGCTTCATCCCAGAACTGGCTGTCACCCGTGCCTGTCTTGAGAGGAATTTGTGGGGGGGAACTCCAGCTCTGGGGGGGGTCCCTACCTTCTCTGGGGGAGCAGCAAGGCCCAGCCACCCCAAAAACTCGGAAGTGGCACAGAGGAGCAGCACAGCCCAGGAACTCTGGAGCAGCATGATGAGAATGGAGAGGGTCCTGTGGAGAAAAGAGGGTGGGGAGAAGCTCCCCGTACTCATGGACAAATTATAGGACCCCCTTCCCAAATTTCGGGGACCCACCCCCACTAAGGGAACCTCCTACAATCCCAAGGATACCGGTGCGTGAGGGTACTGTGGGAAGAAGAGGGTGAGGAACACCTTAGAGTGGGAAGCAGCTCTCATATCCAGGGACAAATTAGGGGACACCCCCTCGGAGAACCATGAACCCGTGGATGTCGGCGGGTAGAGGGAAGAGAGTGTGGAGCACCTGCCACATCCACGGACAACTTTGAGGACCTCCCCCACGCCAAATTTAGTTCCCACCACCTCTGGTAGAGACCCTCCCCGTGGCCCCAGGGGTGCCGGATCTCCGCTGAGCGCTGCGGGGAAGGTTTGGAAAGAGTTCGGGAAGGTTTGGGAACAGTCGGGAACTCCCTCCAGGATCCCCACGCGTGGACCTGCACGAACCACGTGGCGCCGGCGCCTGCGCAATTTCCCCTCCTTGCCCCTTTTACCCCGCCCTTTAAATGCGTCGCCACCAATAGGAGAACGGGGGTGTGGCTACTCGCGGCCAATCAGCGCTGGGGGTGCGGCTCTGAGGGCGTGGCTTCACGTAGCAATGGAGGCGTCCGAGCTCTGGGTCGGGTTCGTGGGTGCCGGGCGCATGGCCGGGGGGCTTGTCCGGGGGCTGCTGCAGGCAGGTGAGGGGCAACCGGAGGGCCGTGACCCACGGGCAGGGGAGGGAACGGTCCTGGTCTGGCGCCTTCCCGGTGTCCTGTGGTGCAGGGAAGCGTGGGGGGACATTGGGACAGCGCTGTCTGGACGCTCTCTGCGCTCCCTTCCCTGTTGTCCAGTGGGGGGACGTGGGACAGTCGTGTCTTGACCCCTTCCCAAAGTCTCAGCCCGCCCTCGGGTCCCTGTCCTCCAATGCAGAGATGTGGGGACAACCCTCTCCTGGCCCGTTCTCAAGGTCCCAGCCCTTCCCCAGGTCCCTGTGCTCCATTGGAGGGACATGGGGACAGCCCTGCCTTGGCCTATTCCCAAGGTGCCAGCCCTTCCCTGGGTTCCTGTCCTGCGCTGGAGGGACATGGAGACAGCCCTTTCCTGCCGCTCTTCCCCGGTGGCCCTGCTTTTCTCTAGTGTCCCTGTCCCACAGATTAGTGTTGCCTGTCCTGTCGCAGTCCCCCAGGGTCCCTGTTCCCCAGATCAGTGTGGGGACAGCCCTTTCCTGCACCCCTCCCCAAGGTTCTACTCTGTCCAGGGTCCCTGTCCTCTATGAGGTTTCTGTCCCCCAGATCAGTGTGGGGACATTGGGACAGCCCTGTCCCAGAGATAATGAGGGCACGGTCCTGTTCCTGCTCCCTGTGTATCCATGATTGTCCCTGTTCCATAGCACAGTGTGGGGACAGCCCTGCCCATTAAGGCCACCTCCATTGTCACTGCATCCTGACACAAATGGGTGCCTGTGCCAGCCTCACCAGCAGGATCCATCCCCAGCCCCTTTTGCTCCATGTCTCCCTGTGGGATCGTGCTGGGATAGGAGGAATCACATTCAGGTGGAAATTGGGGTGTCTGGGCTGTGCCAGGGTGTCCCCCCAACCCTGGGGCCACCCTGGCCACTTATCCCATTCATTCCCTATGTCCCCCAAGGGAAGGTTCCAGCTAGCAACATCCTGGCCAGCGCTCCCTCGAACAAAAACCTGGATGCTTGGAGGGTGAGTGGGGCCATGGGGATGGGAGATGTTGGGGTGTCCCTTACTGTGGGGTCAGAGCACCCTTTCCCCCCACACTGGGGTGTGGCTCATCCTCCCCAGGTCTGGGTGTGATCCAGGTAGAGCCTTGGTGGCTTTGTGAACAGAGCAGGTCCCCAGGCCATGTCCCTGCCTCTGGGTGTGCTGTTACAATGGGGGTGCTGGTTTTAAGATGCTGATTTTTGGGGGTGCTGGGCTGTGATCCCTCTCCTTGTCCCCGGGCAGGAGTTGGGTTGCCGAACCACACATTGCAACCTAGAAGTGGTGCACAGGAGCACCCTGGTCTTCCTGGCCACCAAACCCCACATCCTGCCGGGTGTTCTGGAGGAGATCCGTCCTGCTGTGGGGTCCCACCACATCGTCGTGTCACTGGTGGCTGGCGTCACCATC